GTGGGCTTTTGTGTGGGGACATATTTTAGAAGGAAAAATTCAAAACAAACTGCAGATGAGGATTAGGTATTCTCTGCTTGTGGCTAGAATCACAATTAAAAACATCTGCTTATATCACTTGGATTTAAATCAGCTCAACCTGTAGATACACACCAGTTGATTCTATAACTACAAGTCTTGCTGTCAATTGCTCACCTTCTGCAGAACTACTACCTCTATCAGGTGAATTATTTCACCCTTCAAGGGACCACAGGCAGTCCTGGCCAGGACAAGATATCAGTATCCATTACCCTGAGCAGACAGACAGTCAACCTTCTTAGGTTGTACAGAGGTGTGTTGCACTTCTGCAATGACCACAGCTTACCTAACGTGGCTGCTGCCCACACCAATTGACTGGTGTCATCTATGGCTTCAGGTTTTCCGCGTGGCTCGTAAAAGATATGAAGCTAGCCAAAAAGAAGTTGAACAACCCAAGAAAGTTGTTGTATGGAAGAGAAATGAGAAATTTTAGCTCTACATTTCTGTCCTTGCTTTTGTGGATTTATTAATGGCTCTGTTCACCGTCGGACTTCTGTGTTTGTCAGACGTTTCCTACAACTGACATATCAGGAAGGACTTCCATGCTACAGATTTCTTAACTGCTGAATCTGAATTTCTGAAAGGAGTTTTCCAAGGGGGGGAGTACAATATACATGAAAAAAAGAGAAATAAAAAAAAGAAAGAAGATAAAGATGGAAAAGCTTGTCGTCAAACTAAAATAATACGAAACAAGAAACCACAATAAGGTTAAAAAAAAAAAAAAAAAAAAAAGCCTAGAAACAAACAAGTGTTTGGTTGCACGATCAGAGGAGAAAAATGTGGAAAGATTCCATATGTTCTTGACTTAGTGTTGCAACAGTAACACAACCAAACATATTTGTACTAAGAAGGATAAGCTAAATTAGTAAAAGGGAGACTCAGAAAGCCAGAAGGTAAATTTTGTCACTGGTGACTCTCAGATAGGAAGGCTTGGACAAGAGTGGAGAGTATTCCACTAAGGGATGGGGGGCTGTGCCATCCCACAAGGGATGCTTGTGAGACATAGGGAGCTCAGGCCCAGAGCAATGCACTTCCTTTTCCCTCCCCATCATGTGGTCCTCGTCATGAATAAGGTGGAAGTTGCAGCCCAGCTCAAGGTACAAAGTGGAAGGTCCCAACGTTGTGTTCCCATCATGTCTTCTTGGAAAATGAAAGGTCAAAAATAGTTGGGTTTTTAGGAGGCAGCAGAAAAGCATTTTAAGTGCCTTGGTCAGTAACAGAAATAAGGTCGTACAGGTTTCTGGAAATGATTTGCAGTGTACTTGGGCACACTGAAATTGTAATATATGTTGCTCTTTTACTGTGAAAAAACCCCACTATCTCTGTAATGCGATTTGTGAGGTCTGTACAAAGAGAGGATGAAGGCATTTCAGTCTCAGAAACGTTCTCAGATCTGTGTTTTGGCTTGCAGTATTTGAGCTGCAATGCCTATTTAGAGGCAGTGATATGCACACAGTGTGTCAAATGTAAGAATGCGCTAAAGCTCTTCCTTCTCAGCGGGCCGAGTTCTTGCTGTCAGGTTTGCATTAATGACCCACTGACCTACTTTCCTGATTCACCTGGCAGAACTTCGCAGCCACGCAAGCCCAGATTGGTTTTGTTTAGATTTTGTGACAGAAATCATTAGAAGAGTGACACTGCAGATAAAAATGAAAAGTGCTCTGCTTTTTGGTATTGCAAGTGAATTTTTTGTTCAACCGTGTAAATATTTTCCATCATGATGGACTTGTCTGCTTCTTTTTTTAAGGCTCTGTGTTTTATAAGGCTTTCTTCTCTCTCCCTCATATTAAAAAGAAAAATGAGCTGTGTACGTGGACACTCAACCAGTGTGGCTTCTTTGCTGCTGCAGTCCAGAAGCAAAGGGAAGAGGCAGACATAATGGATCCGTGAGAAAAACGCATCTTCTGCCTGTCTTAAATCATCTACTTTACAGAGAAGCGTAAATTGCTAGAAATAAAAAAAGCTCCTTGGCAGCTCAATAACTGCATATAAAACAAATCATATTTTTCAGTGAATTGTAAATGTCACTGTCTCAAATAACATTTATGCTTTCATAGAAATAGGAACTTAATTTTCCCCAGCTATATTATTACCTCACATTGGTGAATCAGATCACCTACACTGAAACAGAGCGAGCCAGTGACTCAGAACCACGGCACATCTAAAGATCGAGCGCACTGAGCTGCACGCAGATGGGAGGCTCCGTTGAGCCACCAGATAGAGCCCGATCTGCTACAATCCTGCTAAAAATGGGCACCAAATGCTTGTTGTCAGAAGTGACTGGCAGCCCGTGTCCGAGCTGAAAGGAGGTTGTTTTTTGCCTATTCATTCAGTGGGTACACGGTGACAGCATAAAAGAGAGGGAGGGCTGTGATGGGCTGTCATGTGGTGAGCTGACTGCTATCTCAGCCTCAATGTCCTTTTGGCAACTTGAGTAATTTAAAAAAATGAATCACTGCTATTGAAATGCCTCAAACATTGCAAATTATTTAATATTTTGGTCTTTCTGTTATGCTTCCTTCAATTTATTACTTAGAATCACAGAATACCTCTTGTTGGAAAGGGCCTATAAGGATCACCAAGTCCAGCTCCTGGATCAGAGAATCATAAAATCATTAAGGTTAGAAAAGGCCACTAAGATCATCTAGTCCAACCACCAACCCATGCATGTGAGTGTTCTAGACCATGTACCTCAGTGCCACATATACATCATCCCTGAATACCTACACGGACGGTGACTCCACCATCCCCGGACAGCCTGTGCCTGTGCCTCACTGCTCTTTCTGAGAAGGAACTTTTCCTAATATCCAACCTGGACTTCCTCTGGCGCAACTTGAAGCGATTTCCTCCCATCCCATTGCTGTTATCTGAGAGGCCAATCCCCACATTGTCACAACCTCCTTTCAAGTCACTGTAGAGAGCAATATGGTCTCCCCTGAGTCTCCTCCATACTGAACAAACCCAGCTCCCTCAGGCACTCCCTGAAAGACTTGTGCTCCAGAACCCTCGCAGTTTAATTGCCATTCTCTGGACACACTCCAGGGCCTCGATGTCTTTCTTGTAGTGAGGGTCCACAGAACCACCCAAAAATCAGACCATGTGTCTGAGAGTAGTGTCCACATTGCCATAGAGAGCTCATCTCCCTTATTATAAAATCAAACGATTAATGTTGAAAACATACATAGATAAAAATGGCTATCTACTTCAGTTCTGGCAAGTAAGGAGATGACAGTTGCACGTAAGATAGGCATTGCTTGAGTACAGTTTAATTTCTGCATGACTCATCTCCGCTTCAGAGTAAAGGGATGCTGCTGATGACAATGCCAATATTTTTTGTGCAGCTGTATATTTGACTTAAAGCAAAGGAGCCCAGAGATCGACACAGATCCTCGGAAAATATGAGCTGCAAGTCTAGCTCACACAGAAATGTGTGTGAATGGTGACAGTGAATCCTGCATGCCAGCAGAACACTGAATGGCAGTGGTGTTTCAGAATTATACCTCAATGAAAGGTTTTCTGTTAGTTTAGGGGTTGTGGCATCTCATCTGCATTTTCATGAATTAGTGGTTTTCACTATGTGACAGAAACATTTTGATATATTAATGAAAGCAATTAAAAACATATGTCACTGCCAGATTTCAAGCTGAAAAGAAAATGATATTTCTCACAATGCATATTCCAACCATTCCAGTTCCAAGTATACTCCATTTCAACCTAGCATGCCTCACTCACGAAAGAGAGATGAAACACAGGGCATATTCCACAGTCATTTGATTCAACCCCTGCAGATTGCATTGATTTTTGTAACAAAACAAACAGTCTCTTCACCAGTATGTTTTGCTTAAAAGATGTTTATATTGCATTTGTTAGTCTTCAGAGCTATTGAGTTTGGAGTTATCTTATAAGGCAAGTCTGCAGCAGTTTATTTTTATGTCCCTAGATTGAAGGGTATCTTGACACGGGACTGACTTAAGTTATTTTTTCAAGGTGCTAATTTTCAGTAAAACAACATTAAGATATCACTGAAATTGATGTGGCTCTTTCAGAAAGCCCACAGTGCCCACAGTTGACCTCAGCAACATGGAGATGCTGAAGGTGTCTGACTTATTTAGGGAATGGTGTAGCATTAGGCTCTGTGATCCCAGAAATGATTGATGAGGAAAGATGTTGAACTGTTGGATGCAGGTGAGCAGACCCGGTTTGAGCATTTATCTCTCTTTAAATGTTCTATGGCTTAAATAATAATAATAATAATAATAATAATAATAATACAAAAATCACAGTCTAGTACAAATTTCAGATATGATGGATCCTTTTTTGCAGTGTCTATTTGTTCCATCTTTCTCAGTAATCATGACTTGCCTTCATGATCATTGGGATGGTAATGGTTTGTTTTCCAAACTAAACCTGTGTTGGGCTATATCCTTTTACACACAGTGGCATATGTGTTTGCAATTATTAATTCATTAAAAAACAAAACAAAAACAAAAACAAACCCAGAAAAGTTATTGAAGAGCAGCAAATTCAAGGGTTGCACTTGGTTTAAAGTGTGTTGATCTGCAAACAATGATATTGTTCATTGCAGGGGAGTTGTACCAGATGACCTTTAAGGATCCCTTCCAACTCAAATATTTCTGTGATTCTATGATTCTGTGATATCTGGGAAGCAATGAATGCTGACTTCCATCCCACACTCAGTGGAAGGGCTGGAACCCCGCTCTCGCAGCTCTCATGTGGGCACTCAGCACATCACTGCCCAGCATGACATTTTTCAGGAGCTAGCCCCTGGCCCTTTGCCTTTCCTTCCTGTCTCTTCTTTTACATATTCAGCTAAAGAGCTATCTATAATTTTTGTCACTTTCATTTCCAGTATGTCACCATGGATTATGAAAAGTAAGCCACCGTCCGCCCATTTAATGGAGTGCATCACCGCGGATAATCGCTTTGGAATGTAAATCAGTTTACTGTTACCTGGTTACTGCTGGAACATGCACAAAGCAGAGAGAAGATGGCTCTAGCACACTGTAAGTATAGCATGCAGTGGTGAACATATATCAAACTCCCCTTCTCCTCACAGTTGTGCTCAGACCTACATATCGGGGTGACACATTTGTCTGCATGCGCAGGAACATGACCGCCCGTATTTACAACATCACACTGATAAGAAATGTTCCCACAAGCAGGCTTCAAATAAAGGTTGCCTATCACATCTATTATATCCAGTTTTCTTTCAGGAAAGCTGCTTGCAGAGCAGACAGCCTACAGGGGAGGAGGCCAGCCTGGGTCACACAGCTCCCATCTTGTCACCAAGTCTGGTTCCAATGGTCCAGAGCAGCTGACAGCAAACAGCCTCAGAGGCACAGCACACCCTCTCTCCTCCCTGTACATCACCTCCAAACTGGAGAGAAATATGGCAAAAAGGAGTAAACCCCAGACAGAATTTCCAGGAACAGGTGTCATGGGGCAGAGGAGAGGGTGAGAAGATAAACTAGAGTGAAGATGTGACAAGCTCTAGGTGTGTTGGTGCTGTGATAAGATATACAGGTACAGTTGCCATACAGTGCAGGAAACACAGAGCAATTAAATCCTCCTGTGCTCAGGATGGGTCCCTATTCTGCCAGCAGAAGAGCAGTGTTGCATTTGGTGCACTTACTCTCCTGACAAGGATGCTGCCACTATATTTTCGGGTCGATTGAAGGATCCAGCATCTTTCAAATCAGTCTCTCTCTTACAGGCAGACTTTCTTCATATACACTGAGAAAAGCTCTGTCCTTGAGCTTGAGCCATTTGTCTGGCAGTGCTCAATGGAAAACTACTGGATGGATAACAGTACAGGTTTGCCTTGCTTTTGTCCCCTCAGAATGCTTAAGTTAGACATAAAGAGTGAGATAGGGATACAGGTGTCGAGTTTGCACAGTAAGGGCTTGTGACAAAACAAACATGTGAGTTTGTTTTGTCACAAGCCACAGAGATGGCTTGAGAAGATACTGGCCACAGAGATACTGGCATGAGAAGATACTGAACTTCTTAATGGATGTGTCAAAAAAAATTATTATTATTAATAATAATAATAATAATAATAATAATAATAATAATTGTATTTTACAAAGTTGGCCATGCTGTAAAAATGGTATTCAACCACTCATATTACTGCTGTGTTTGCTGCCAGAAACAAGGGTATTTCCAAGCAACAAACTGGACATGTTTACTGTATATTTCAGCACGGAACCATGCAAGTTTTACAGCCATCACCTGCACTGCCTGATGTGATTGGCACTGCCCATATCTGGGTGCACAGTGATAGCACATGGGGTTGTCTTTAATGGCACTGAGCAAGCTCCCTGATGACAGTGAGAAAACCCCTTTCCTATTCTTGCAAGACACTGCTTCAGAAGGCTGTTTATTCACCTTGTCCAAGCTGCTAGACAATCATTCCATACTTTATTGCACTCCTAGATGCAGTTCTCAGATCCTGCCTGGAGGGAGAAATCCCCACTGCTAAGGAGTCATAGAATCATTAAGATTGGAAGAACCACTAAGATCATAAGTCCAACCAGCAGCCCACCCCCACCATGCCCACTGACCACATCCCTCAGTGCCACATCCACATGGTTTTTGAACACCTCCAGGGACAGTGACTGCACCACCTCCCTGGGCAGCCTGTGCCACTGTATCACTGCTCTTCCTGAGAAGAAACATTTCTTAATATCCAATCTGAACCTTCCCTGGTGCCACTTAAGGCCATTCCCTCTCATTCTAACAGAAGTCTTAGTGAGAAGGGTGAGCAGGGGGCATAGGGTGAGAGTGTAAATATGACTGAGTCTCTTTCCTTCTTTGGGGAAAATTCAAGGGCTACCTCACTAGGAAACCTGTTGTGTCCTGATCTCTGCATAAATGTCCTCGACTGCTAATTTAATGAGAGTCTGTTGGGTTGAGGAGTAATCTAAATTATAACTAACACACTTCTGGTTATTTGCCAAAGTTTTTGAAAAGTGAAACCCTGTGTTTATTCTCCAATTATTATTTTTATTGTGAGTCTTTATTTTGTGCCACTGAGTGATGACTGATTAGTGGAAGTTTTTACTCAAATGGGAAAATATTTTTCTCTCCCCCTTCCTCCAGGTTTTCAAATCGCCCCTTTCCCTGCCAACAATATCACTCTGAAATAGTTCTGATTCTACTGCCAGCGTGACAGAATTCAGACACTTTTCTGAATTACACTTGACAGCTCATTCAAGTAGCCTCTTGAGCCTTCAGAGGTATCTTCTGCATTATCTGTTGGCACATACACTTTTCCTACAATTGTATCCAAAGTTTGTGCATATTCCTTTTTTATGCTTCCGCTCCTTGAAATGTATAAAGTTAAAAGAGGAAACATTCTTGACAGCTTATTGTGTAAATCCTTCTGACACAGTTTCCATATTTCTGTAGGAGATGAGAACTGATGGATACAAAGTAGGTCAAGAACTCCTAAGAGACACAGTGACTGCCTTTGATTTTTCTACCTTGAAGTTCAAAGAGCATGAGTAAGTTCATTGAAAGAAGATGAAATGAGTTATTTAAAGAAATAAGGATTCCACTTTGCCTGTTGTGCCCTGAGAACTTAAGAAAGAGCAGGTCATGAGTCAGCCAGAAGCCTGCATGCACATGCATGCGTCTGGATGCACTTTTCTAATATTGTTTGTAGACAACGCTGTCATTAATTGCCGATGAACTCTTCCTAGCACTGAAAGATTTTTCATTTTAATAAAGAGTCCAGTAAGAAGTTTGATACTACGTGCTACATCTATACACTATTGCTTCTTACCAACCTGGGTAGAGCAACTGTTTCTTCAGGCAATTTACTTCAGCTGAAACCAAGTGGGCTAAAATTGAGAAAAGTAAGGAGCCACCACCCCCTTCATCTTGTATGAACTAAAGGAAGTTGACTTTCAGGACTGGAGCTGTCTACTTGTATAGGAGCTGTACCCAGGAGCCACTTGGCGTTGGGCTAAGGCATTGGTACCCAACCCAATTGTTATTTGCAGCACAGGCCTTGCCTATAACATTGCAATGCAGAGCTACTGCAGCAACAGAAATGTTGAAGAACGCTATTGTACTCTCTGGTGAGGAGTGACAGGGCCAGAACCTATGATCTTTAAGGTCTTTTCCAACCTGAGCAATTCCATCAAGAAGAATGACACTTCTCACTAGACAAATTAACTGGGGGACAGTTAATTTCAGGGGCAGTGGGCTCAGCTGCCACATTGCATATGCATGCTAAGACATGTGGTGAAGGAAGACCACACCACCTCATGAGCTTCCTAACCACGTAGTGGCTGCATTTGACCCCAGTTAACTGGCATTTAGTAGAGACAAATCAGAGGAAGGCTAATGAAACAGATGGAGACAAAATGCAAAGGAGTAATGGAGACCTTATTCCAGAAATGCTAGTGCAGTCCATTTGAAAGCTGTTACTTGGATTAATTCCTTCTATGAACAATGAAAGATGCTTTGATTAAAGCTGTGCAGGAAGCTGAATTTTGCTGTGCATGGCTGTATCACTGTTAAAGATGCTCCCTTTGTTTCATACCAGAAACAGAAAGTAAACCTGTATGCTGATGTAGAGGTAACATGAATTAAAATTGAGAGTAAATAGCTTCAATTTACCTTCACTCTATTTTATATTGTTACAGTTGGCGTTACAGCTAGAAAGATTACCATGGTGAAAATGGGAAAAGAAACAAACAGGAAAGAAATGCTCCAAAGATCTAGATTCACAATAAGGTCTCCTCACAGAAGGGATCTCCAGAAAGAGATCCTTTCCAGTGGTAGTCGGCCCTTAAGTAGGTTCTAGGAGGGGTGCAGCCAGGTTCCACCCCTTCACCTGTGCTCCCATGGCTGACTCAGCCAGTAGTTCAGGCCATGACTCGACAGTTCACTTATATATATATTGTTAAACACCAAGCATTACTGTTGCATGAAAAAATGAAAAATAGGGTTTTCATACTCCACAGCACTGGGAAGGTGTGCCGTAACATTGTAGTATGCACCTCTCCATTCACATTTTCCTGGCCATTTTGGCATTGAGTGCAAGATAGGAATAATGAAAGGTTTATACAGGATAAAGAAGTGTTTCGTCTCCATCAGACATCACCTATGGCTATGCCAGAACCTGCTGGAGAGCCTAAAACAGGGCAGCTAGGCTTTAATGGTGATCAGAGAGCACAATTTGTCCTGTGACAGCAGAACTTACAGGCAGCACTCATAGGATCATAGAATCATTAAGACTGGAAGGCCCCTGAGATCAGTTCAACCAGCAGCCCACTCCTACCATGCCCACTGACCACATCCCTCCGTGCCACATCCACACGGTTCTGGAACACCTCCAGGGACGGTGACTGCACCACCTCCCTGGGCAGTCTGTGCCACTGCATCACCACTCTTTCTCAGAAAGAATTTTTTCTAATATCCAACCTGAAGCTCCTCTAGCACAACTTGAGGCCATCCTATCACTGTTACCTGGCAGAAGAGGCCAACTCCTGCCTCGCCACATCCTCCTTTCAGGCAGTTGTAGAGAGCGATAAGTTCTCCCCTGAGCCTCCTCTTCTCCAGAGTGAACAATTCCAGCTCCCTCAGCAGTTCTCTATAAGACTTGTGCTATAGATTCTTCACAAGTCTTATAAGAAGGAAACTTGTAAGACTTAAATGGACAAAGTTATTTACAAACATTAAAGCACTGAACTTCATCAGGATATTGAAGTTGGTCCTAAGTCACATAATAGGAATTAAGAGCGATGTTGTTTGTCAGAGATGCAAGCAAGTCTAATAGCGTAGTTTTATTTTTTCCTACAAGGACTGATGTAGCTGAAATTAAAGCCTAGATGAGCCCTTACAAGCAGAAGACCTTCTCCTTGCTAGGTTCTGTTTCAGGCCTTGCTCACAGCCCAAAAGCTGGGCTGTTCCTCTCTGACTGGCTCAGCTTGTGTAAGGGAGGTCATCCCGTCTGCCAGCAGCTCTCCTTTGGCTCAGAGGGAGAAGTCAGACTTTGCAGCCCTGTGATAGGTTGCTCATGAACAGCTCTGATTTTTTCCTGCTACGCAGTGACTTCAGCCAACATGAAGCGCAGTGCTCTCGCTTGAGAACATGTGAGCCTAATTGGCATTCTGTAAAACTCCTCACAACGCCTTTTAGTTAAAGTGAATGTCAGAAAACACAAGGTCCCGTTTTCTTTGTGAAAATTCCTCCAAAAAATTCCACACCACAGGCTGTGCATCCGAGCATTTAATTCACACTTTCAAAAGCAGGGCTGCACAATACGAGATTCAAGATGTTTACTTCCCTGAGCCTCTCCCTGGCCAAGAAGAATGACCTAACCCAGGGGGTGGTCCAAACCTTGGCTCTGTGCACCTGCAGTCCAGATGTCTGCCCTGAGATTGCTCTTGACAGAACCTACCAGGGCAAGGGATTGGCTGGATGCATGTGGGCATGGCAGGAGGATTTGGACCTCCCCACCACCTCATCTCCATCATCCTCCCGTGTACCACCATAAAGCAGTGGAGCTACACCAGATGGAGTCAGCCCACAGGCTGGATGTAGTCTCCAGTTGGATCTGTTTGATTTCATGCTTGGAACTAATTAAGCTAATGACTGATTACTATATAGTGTTCTTTTGTTTATTTTGCTTTTTTTCTCTAATGCCATTTAGATGGCATTCTCCCAGGTATCAGCATTAGAACAAGAGGTAATTGCCTCAATTTATGCCAGGGAAAGTGGAGGTTGGTTATTAGGAAATTTTTCTTCTCAAAAGGAGTTGTGGTGAATTGGAACAGGCTGCCAAGGAAGTTGGTTGGTGGAGTCACTGTCCCTGGAGGTGTTCAAGAACTGTGTGAATGTGGCACTGAGGGACATGGTCAGTTGGCATGGGGGAGGTGGGCTGGCTTTTAGAGTGGATGATCTGAGAGGTCTTTTCCAGCCCTAATGATTCCATGATTAGATCAGCTGTGAGAAGCACTGCAATCTGATAGCTTCTGGGACCCTCACTTTGGGTTTGTGTCAGCCAAGTATTGAAGTCTTAGTTGGTCACTCAAGACTCTTCCTATAGATGATGCAGATAAATGGGCATCTCCAAAGGTGAGCTGTCTTGTCAGCCTCTGCCAGCTTTTATGCTTCTTCCTACTAATTATAAAGGGAAGGAAACGGCCGCCAGCCTAGGATGGGACATTTTTATATTCAGATACCTAACTTCAGGTAGATGAATTTCTCACTCTTTTAGGCAGATTACCAAATTAACTAGAAGAATTCAGTATCCTCTTTCTCCAAAAACTATACGCTAAGAAGCTGGTAAGGAGGAGCCTCACTCAAAAATTCACTAGGTCTACTATGTCCTATATGTGCAAAAAATACCAACCACCAAATATGCCCTATATGTGAATATATATATGTATATATGAAAGTCAATCTCTAGAATATGGTGGTTTTCTGGCCTATTTCTGGGATAGCCTAATTTCTTGTGCTCAAGAGATCTCCTTTTGTAGGAAAGAGTAGCAAGTCTCCAGTGAGTTTCTCTCTTCTATCCATTCTAAAAAAGGGAAGCAGCACCATCAGTGAGGACAGGGATGATAATGGCCCACCTCTCACTGCTTTTCATTCTTTTCTAAGTAGCTAAAGGTCCTCTCCTAGCTGCACCTGCTGCAGAGCCCCAAAACCCAGCCATGTCTGGCAGCTGACCTTTTGCCAAGGAGCTTCTCTCTAGTGACTTTGACAGAAAGAATGGAGAAACCCTGCTGACTTTAGTATTTCAGATCTTTCAGATGGTAGACAAGTATTGGAATTCCAAGCCATGCCTGGTGCACTGTGAGGTTAATAGATTTTTATGGCCAGAGGGAACATCCTGACCACCTCATCCCTTCCAGCTAACACAGGCCAGAAATAGGAGCTGTAACAAAAGAACACAGCACACCCATAATGGCTCTGCCAATCAGATCATCCTGCCAGTCTCCACATTCCTTCGCCCTCAATCGCTTTACATGGTGTCTCAGCATGCAGCTCGCATCCTATGCAAGACAAGATGGATGCCTTTCACTTCGGGAGAAGAAGAGAAATAATCTGTGTATAGCTTCCTGTGAGATGATTTTTCTTTTCCTTTTCTTCCACGTCAGAAAAAGCAAAAGGTGAGAGCAGCTAGAGCAGCTTTCTCCTTATTGACAGCTGTTTGCAACTGTGTGCTCTCTCCAGTGGGCCGAAGGGCAGAGTTTCAGCTCCTGTCCAACTGCAATGTAACTAATAGAAGCTACTGGCCCACTGACCCCTCAACTGGTGGTGTGTCCCCAAGCGTGCTTTCACACAACTCCAGACCAGGACTCCCTCAGACAAATTCATATCTTTAAAAGTGCCTAGAGTGTGGGGAGAGAATTCCCAGATAGATTTATTGATGTTTCTGCTCAGTCAGTGAGTTTAATAATGACTGGAGAGCCTTCAGGCATTGTTGAAAATACTCCTTAGAGTTGGTATCACATTAGTTAGGGATCATCTCTATTTACATCAGCTCACCAGCAGCACAATCAGCAAATGATTAAACCCTAATGAGCAGGAGGTTTGTGAGAGGGCTCCCTGCACATGTGCATGGGTTGCCTGGGCTTGAAACTAGCTTCATGGGGACTGCAACTCTCCTTTTCTCTTCCAGCCATCACCTCACCCAGTAGATAAGGACATTTTTCACTGATACTACACATCCTTGCCAGTTGCTTTTTCACCAAGTCCTGTGG